ACGGCCAGCTCTCTGCCCTCATCTTGGGGGCTTTCCAAGTTCCTTTGGCCACAGGCAGAAGCATCCTCTGCACTAGGCAAGTCTTCGGTAAAGATAACATCTGGATTTCAGATAAGCTCTGCTGAGCATCTGCAAGCACAGAGCAGTGATTTACAGCTAGGTCAGATCTAGCTGGATTTTCATATGGCCAGCAAGTACAGGCTGATGCCCCCAGGGATCAGCCCCTGCTAATTTCAAGCCCCTGCATGAAGCACTGAACTGCAGTGAAACCACTGTAAGACATTTTCAGCATGGGCCAACCACCATACTTTTCACTAACCTCATTCTTGGAAGTTGCTGACCAGCTTTGAGTGAAATGTTCCCAAAAAAATTCAGCCCAACACAGAGACCAAGGATGGAAAATTTCAGCCTAGAATGATTAAAATATGACAAAATGAAAAGCAACTGAAAACTGGATCTTATAATCAAAATTGTTAGGCAATGTTAAATATAAGATTTCTTGCCATCTCCACCTATAATAGAGGGACAGCTATTTAAATATTTAATTTTGGAAAAACTTTCTGACATGCAAGGAAAAAGTGTTTTCCTTCCAAACATGGGGTATATGCCCAGGAAAGACATCTGATAAGGAAAACCAGTGGTGACTGTATGCAAACTATTATGTGATCTGAGTTATTTACATTGCTTAGAATTCGGCAGATTCTTCACTGAAGTGTTGTAAAGTCCGAGACTGAACCCAGCTCTAGTAGATGCATCAGTGAGATAGATGTCAGCTTGACCCACAGCGATTTGCCATCTGTGAAAAGTAAACAAATATAACCAACTGGAGTAATGAGCATCGTGATTGTAATAGGAACTTGAGCACAGATTTACACAGGATCTTTGTGTTTGGACTCACGAGCCTTTGACTATCTTAGTATTGAAAAGTAAGCAACTGCAAAACCCCAGCTGTGCAGATCTGTGCAAAAATGAAGCTTTGTCTGTTGACTGCTTGACACTCTACCTGCAAGGCTGGACCAGATGTGTGAGTATTTCCCATATTATTTTTGTCACTTCTCAAAAGAAGGCAGCATGGTTTCCTGCAAAGTTTTTAGAGAGTCTTTTGGAAGAGTTCCAGAACTTTAAAACTTGTCCACTTTTTTCAAGTAAATAGCAGGGGCTCTAACAAAAGGTATTACCTCTGTGGCAAATTTTGATTTCCTTAGAACTGTAAAGCTTCACAGATAAATCAGAAGTCTAACTAGTATCGGAGAAAATGCTACCTGTGGGACAAGAAGTCATTGCTACTTTGAATTGAGTCCATTGCTGAAGGAAGACAATATATCTAGATGCAAAGTACGGTCTCTTAAAAGCCACAACACAAAAGCAGAGATTTTTCCCCTATCCTGATCTAAAATACAGTAGTCACAGACTATTTTTAATCCATGTAAAATTATGATAACCATGAAACCATAAACTTTATGGTTTGGTGATTTGGCTGCGATATGCATCCCTAAAGTAGGGGTGTACTGAGATAGGTATAAGGAGAAATATGACAGAGGACCCTGCAGATAACTCGTAGGCTGAAACAAAGATCAGGACAGACCAGATGTAGCTACATTTATTGCTGTGCACCAAAAAATGTTAAGAATTAAACACAGGGAATGAAGATTTCAAAACATCTTAGCAGACGTTCTTGTGATGGGATCATATCAATTTTAAGGCCATAGTGCCTGGCAGGCCGTCAAGGACTGATTTTTTTTTCTGGTTATTACCAGCATAGACATATATGACCCAAAGCTGACATCTAGTGGAGGGAGAATGAGCGCAGGATTTTCCTTCCCTTCCCAGGGATGCACTCCGTTGTGTGCAGATAGCAATGGCAATTTGCTCTTCTCTTCAGAAGTGACCTGCCTTGGTCACTCAGACAGACTTGCCTGCTGAACGGCTTGTCCTGGGCAGGAAAGCGAACCAAGGATCTCACGGGCTCTCTGGTTAAGCGTGCACACCGTGTCTTGTTGGTGACACGTGTATCCGTAGCCGGATGCCAGAAGTTAGGGTCATGGTGCTGTTGGTGCATAGTGAGCTCTGAAGGCTGAATTTAAAAAAAGTTTCAAAAGACGATGGTATGTACGGTCATGACTGCTAGAGTTTGGGCATGGTCTCGTGAATACATCTAACAGAAGAATAGATGTTCACTACAGCTGCAAAGAAGGTGTCAGCTACCTAGGATTTCTGCTGTCAGGAACATCAGATCTGCAGTCCTGGATCAGACCAGTCTCTTGCACACTAGGTCCCAAGGTTGTGGGTCTGTTCAGCTTCCACCTCTTCCTTGGTCCTTTGGCTCACACTGCCCCATCTGGGCTGTTTGGGCTGGGAGGGCAACAATACTGGTAAAACTTTGGGAATGTTTTCCAAGTTTCTGCCTCACCCTTTGCACCTGGTATCACAAGTTTATGAGAAAAATATCTCAATTTTCAGCTAGTAAAAATCAAAGTTTCCAGCTCTCATGCTTGCAGGGAAAAATTGAAAGCAGGAACCCTAAGGGCCTAAAAAAACCCAAAAGACAAATAAAACTGTCCAGTGTTTACTTTTCATATCTTGCAAATTTAAGACAATATCATAAATCTGTTGGCAGCTCAGTCCCCGTTTGTAATTCTTAGCAGGGGAGACAGAGGGAAGCACAGAGAAGTCTCACCAACTCCGAGAACAGGGAAGGGAGAGGACCAATGGTCCTCCTGGGAGATGGCTGGGTGGGAAGCCAAAAGAGGGAATCTGCAAACCCAGTGGGAGAGCAACCGGGTCACGACAGTGCTCATAGCCCTCTAACAATGGCAGAAGACAAAGGGTACTCTACTTGTTTATATACTGTAGAAAGTAAAAAATATCTCTTCCACACGTGGCTGTAAACACTCAAGGCTCTGTAGCTGTGGGCTGTAACAACTCATACTGTCTGTGGATCGTCATTTTGGTGGAATTTGTAGCACATTCAGCAGCAAGTTACCAAGAGTTTAGGGATTCAGTCAAAACCCCTGAAATACTGTTGCTTCCCTTCAACCACTGCTGAAGAGCACAGCTCCAGTGCTGTCCCCCAAACAATGGCATTGCTGACAAGGTGATGCATGTTTTTGGAAAGAACTTTCAATCATCTGATAGCAAAACAAAGTTAGTGTTATATAAACAGTACAAAGTTTACTGCAGGATTGAGCTTTAATCTCTGGTGGTTGCTTATTGACTCCAGAAAAAATAGCAGCTACTCAGTGAAAAGATCTCCTCTACATCCTGTTTGCAGACGAACTTGAAGGAGAGGATCTCACCTCCTGCAGTTATCTCTGAAACCCAAAGTAGGTCTGAACTGAGGTCTGAATTGGGGGTCAATGGGCCTGGGTTTTTTAAAATTCCCATTTGTTCTGCCATGAGAAGACTTGGTGTATTTTTTTGTGCTTGCTGGCTTTGACTTTTCTAACAGCTGGAAAAGCAGAAGTCGTGATATGTGGTTTACGGTATATCATGATGTATGATATATGAAGACTTGCATGATGTCTTGACGGCATACAGAGAGGGCTTGGGCTACTTTTACCACCTGCTACCTAGTGCCTGTCAGAGGGGACAAAACAATACTGAAGAAATCAGTCACACGTCTTCATCTTCCAATGAGTCACTCATCTTTGGCTCTTTGCTAAGGAAGAATTATGAGTCCTAATTTTCAAGTGGATACACAGGCATCTCAGTCAGTGAGACATATCCATGTGTGCAGTTTGGCAGGTTGGATCTGTGTACATAACCTGTGTGTTTATCTGTGCCAGAAGCATACAACATTGGACACATGGGACTGGTTTTGATGAAGCTTGCAACCCCTGCTAATCTGCGGTGGGAGACTAATCCTGAAAACTAGGATATTTACTTCTTCCTGTGCATTTTTAGAAAAATTAGACCCAAACCACAGCTGTTTTAAAACTTCATGTTTTCATATACCTTGCAAAATGACTATTTTAATCAGAGCTGCGGAAGTAATTGCAAGAAACGATTTAGCAAATTGATTTTGTCTGTGTTTTGTACATGTTCCCTTGCACATGGGCATGGTTTGCTAAAACATTAATTTGCATAGCTTTTAATCCTGGCTGGTTCAACAGCATAGAAGTGGAGGCATTTGCTAGGCAGCATTTGCTAGGCAGCATTTCTGTTGGTTTGATGAGGCATCTGGGTCACACAACGTCATTTCTGTTCCCTGAAAGATTGAGGGTAGTTTCTAGAATTGTGTTTCATGTTGTGGAATATACTTTTTCCCAGTGTTTTCCCATAGTTTGTCCAAATTTTGCATGCTCCTTTTTCAGTATGTATTGGTGCTCCAGTATGTAATGCAAACACCCAGAAGATAATTGTTACAAAAGAGAAATGAAGACATGTAGAAAATGCTTTGTTTTTCCACAGCACTGGCCTTGACAGTAGCTTGCACTTGGAGTCTGGACATAGTTTTACAATGCGTTCATGCTGGAGCAGGTTAGATGTAGACTCCATATTTACTTGCTTCTAGATTTCAGAGCTTGTTTTTAGTCACTGCACTCCATAACTAATTGTTCAGTCAGGGAGCCGTCCTAAGGGGTATTCCAGCAAACGATGTTCTGGGACAACCTTTGAGGAGAATTAGTGGAACAAATAACCCAGCAAGTTTTAAGATGGAATTTATGACAGAATTGCACAACTGCTGTATCTTAAAATAGTAAAAGACCTAAAATGTCTTCTTCGGGTTTCTGTTTGAGACAGAATAAAGAGAGAGGGCCAGAGATGCAAGTTTCTTCCTACTGTTATGGCTGCATCTGCAAGTGTTCCTTATACTAGGGGAGAGGATGAATGGCAAGATAGACTGAGACAACCTCTCAGCAACTCTTCTACAAGACAGATGGGTCCAAGGTTTGCATTAAGTGACATTAGAGACCCTGGAAGAGAGAATGACAGTTCAGGGACCTAATTTGTGCTCCATGTTATTCTTTTCTTCAGGGTTCCCAGAACTTCTCTCAGCAATGGCTATGGTGTGTCTTTCAGATTTTGAAGATTATGCTAAAAAGTATTTACCCAAAATTGCTTGGGATTTTTTTGCAGCTGGAGCAGATGACTGTAGCACTCGAGATGAAAACATCCAGGCATATAAAAGGTAATGTGAGGAGGAAATGAGGGGTCTTGTACAGAAAACTTTTAAACTATGTTTTTGTGCAAGTGTTTGGACTTCACAAGCAAAGATTCCTTACACCTTGCCCTTTCAAGGTGGTCCCCAAGCAAAATGCACTTACCTGAATGACATACGCTGTATGCTCTGATGCTAGCCTGAATATGACATAGATTGTGTGAGGCACAAGAGATGCTGAGGGTCCAGGCAAATGGTAGGGTAGGGTAGGGTCTGGTCTGGTACGGTGTGGTACGGTGTGGTATGACAGGAGCGGGGATGAGTGGCTATACTAGAATGAGATGCAATGGGAGCATGTGGCCAACAGCAGGAAGCCTGCGTCTAAGTAGTATGGGATTTGGGGAACATGCTGCAGACAGTGAGGACAGACATACGGATGGTAGAGTAGAAGGCAGCAACTTGGGAGTGGGCTGCAAGTAGAAGGAATCTGTGGGATGGACAGTGGGAGAACTGAGGTGGGAAATGCAGAAATTATGTACCCTGGCCAGTAAGCAGGAGTATGGGATTAATGAAAAGTGTAAGTGGCTGAAATGCTGTCTGAATTGACCTCTAAAAGCAAACGGAGCCTTTGTTATATGCTGCTTTCTTTATTGGCCCAGATTCCTCTATTACAATAGGTAAATGAAGACCCAGGTTCCATGAAACTTCAGAAAAGCCACTGAACAGCTACCATCCTGAAGGGATTGTTTTGCCTTATAGAATTCGTTTCCGGCCACGTATGCTGCGGGATGTATCCATGATGGACATTAGGACTAAGCTGCTGGGGACTGAAATCAGCTTTCCTGTAGGAATCGCCCCCACTGGCTTCCACCAGCTAGCATGGCCTGACGGAGAGAAAAGCACAGCCAGAGGTACTCTTCTGCTTTGTTGCTGTGTAGCAGAACGGGGCTTGTAGAAAAGCCTCAGGAAGCTGTTAGGATGACTTGGTGTGACTGAGCAAAATCTTCAGGCTTGAGGGGGAAAACTCCTTTGCCACTTTCTGATGCTCCTTTTTGTGGATGACCCACTTGGGTCTGGTGACACAGAGTGCATGGGAAGCTGTATAGACATTGCTCTACTTCTCCAGCTACCACTATTACAAGATCAGCCCTGTGAAGGCTGCTGCAAACTTAAGACAGAGACTGTGGACATATTTCTGGTGTAACCACAGACCACACAGGTCCTCAGTGCTGTGGACTCTAGATAGGACATCAAAGTGGTGGATGGGACTCAGCCTGTAAATTCCTTGTTACTGGTAAGAACAGTCTCTCCCTTGGAGAAAAGCATAACATCTCTTCCAAAATCCTCTGGTGGGTCTGGGGAGCTGACCCTTGGAAATATCTTTTTTCCAGTGTGTGTTTCTGTGTACGCTGAGTGCATTTGACAGCGCATTCCTGAAAGGACATAGTCATAAAGATAAAGTTCCTGTTTTTTTTAAAAAAATAGTTGCAAAATGAAAGCACCACTTGGTAAATTACCTGTCCCTTTCCTGCTTTCTTAACCATGATCCTACAACAGTGCATGGTAAATATAGCCATTTTCAACCCCGAGGGCATATTTGCCAATTGGTAGAGTGCTGTGTTTGGTAGGATATAAGTAAAACAGGAGCTCAGGTGTTCTCTGCAAACTGTATGTAAAAAACTTGTGTACCTGGTGTCTGGCAGGACTATTGAAATGACCTTGATTCTGATTATTTTCCAATACCTCCCGAAGCGGCCAAAGCGATGAACACCTGTTACATCGCCAGCACATACTCCACCTGCACGCTGGAGGAGATCACTGCGGCCGCCCCCGGAGGGCTCCGGTGGTTCCAGCTCTACATCCACCGCAACAGGGCGGTTTCCCAGCAGCTGGTCCAACGGGCGGAGGCCTTGGGTTTCCAGGGCCTCGTCCTCACCGCGGATCTGCCCTACACGGGCAAAAGACGCGATGATGTCCGCAACGGTTTCCGCCTTCCTCCCCACATGAAACTGAAGAACTTGGAAGGAGCCTTTGAGGTTTGTAAAATGAGCCCGTCCTTTCATTCGCTGTGGTGGTGTGTACCACATGAGACATAAACCACTGGCTAACTGCTGCTTTGGCAACTGCTGTACCCAGGGTGTATCTTCACCCCTTCTGGTTCTGCAGCATCCTGGCTTGACAGCCTGCCAGCTTGGGTTCTGGCTTCAAAATCCCAGTCCAGCTGCCTTAGAGGCACTGATCTCCATCTCCATTGTAATTATTCTCCTCTGGAGACATGTGCTTTCCAGAGCTGATGAACATGTCTGTTAGCAAGTTTAATGAATCTGTTGTAGGGCAGGGAAGGACTTCAAGGGGCCTCTGTATTGTTACAGCTCAGATAAGGTTTCCTTCTGTCCTATGGCTGTAGGGAGATGATCGTTCTGAGTATGGACTGCCACCCAACAGCTTGGATCCGTCGGTCACCTGGAACGATATCTACTGGCTGCGGAGCCTGACCCACTTGCCCATCATCATCAAAGGCATCTTGACGAAAGAAGATGCAGAGCTGGCAGTGAGACATGGAGTTCAGGGAATTATTGTGTCCAATCATGGTGGAAGGCAACTGGATGGAGGACCTGCCACTGTAAGTGAGAAAATGGATGTCCCACAATTTTTATAGTATGCACATTTGTGTTAACCTGGCTATCTCTATGCTCATCTTTGCATATATGTGTCTGGTGGACTTGTGTTTGACTTGTCTGTTTGGACTTTGCGTGGCTGTGGATGTGTGCCGATGTACTTTAGCATTAAACAGGTAAGAGGCATGCCTTGGCATGGGCTACCCTATAAAGTATTTTCTTAGCTTCTTGGGAGGGTTCTGTAAGCAGCACTGAACCCACATAACTGCAGACAAGCTACAGGCCTAAGTTAGTAAAAGTTTTCTGCCTATGTCTTCATTAGCTGATGCAGTGCAAACGTACTCTTTGCGCACTGCAGCAAAAATAAAATGAAGTTCTGGAAACAAAAATGTACAAATGAGGGCATAACGTGTTCTCATTGTTCACATCTGCCAAAACATGCACAAACAATGCAGCTAGATTTAGTGAGAAGTCTGCTTGCATATTTACAGACTCAAGTCTAAATGGGAATTTATTGACTTTCATGAGCCAGAAAAAGGGTAACTTATCTGGAGAAAAATTCCCCTGCTTTTTATCTGTACAAAGAAATTGTGGGTTGTTTGGACATATGTGTATTTCACTGGTTTAATTCGGCTTCTGTCAGTTTTTCCAGTTGTTCTTTATTTTACAGTTCTGTATCGCATAGTATCTTATGGACTTTCTTTTCTCTATTTTCCTCTGTAAAACAAAAATAGGTGCCAGGGAATTGTCTTCTATTCTACGTCAAGGCTGACAATAATGAATAAAAAAAAAATCAATCTAAATGCTAAGGACATAATAATCACAGAAAAGGCATCCACATTAAACTGCTCTTCTCCCTTGAAAGTTTCTTTACACACACAGACAAACTAGTAGATACCTAGTTCAGCTCTGCTGCTCCTCTGGTGCCATGCCTGGCAGCAGAAGCTATTGTCCCTGCTCTTGCTGAGCTACTCCTAGAAAATTTCAGCCTGAAACTTTTCAGTCTGAAATTCTGAAAAAAATATGACCCAATTGGAAAAATCTACTTAGTAATCTTAGTTATAGCTGCTCAATTTAAAAAAGACGAAAAGAAGGCAAAGGAATACTCCTCTGACTGAAGAGACTGCAGAAAAGAGGCTTTCGGGTTTGCTGCGAAGGAGTTAATCAGGTCTAGTGCAATGTCCTGCCCCTGGTTATGCTGCCAGCGTCTCTGCCCGGTACTGCCCTGCACTACCAGCCTGGCACCTGCTCTGCGGAAAGGGCCTTAGGAAATCGGGAGGCTTAGCCTGGAGGAAACGGGACCTTGACTGCACTACGTAGCAAATGAAATCCCTCACAGATACTTCGGGGGGTTTGAGGAGGCTTTCGACAGGTGGTCACCAGGATTAGGTTGAAATGTAAGTTTAGGTAATTTGGACAGTAGCAGGGAGAAGTTTGACATCAGCTTTTTTTATAAACATTTGTATCATTCATAATTGTCTCAAATGAAAGTAAGATATTAACGACAGTAATTTCCATTGAAAGCAAGTGAAAATGTTACTTTTACACTTATCAGAAGTGTTAGCAAAGAATATCGGCATAAGCAAAGCAGTGTAAAACAGAATTAACTATCTGGAAAACAGAACAGGGAGCTGCGCTTTATTCTGCAGCTTTTGGTGCCGAAGTATTTGTGATGCGTTGTCACATTTTATTTTGAGAAGGTATGCTATTAAAGCACTGCATCCCTGCCTGCCTCTTTGGAATATCTCCTCTTTCTCTTGGAATCAAAAGCTGACCTCAAGGTGAGAGCGGCTGCCTCTTTGCAGATTGATGCTCTGGTTGAGGTGGTGGAGGCAGTACAAGGCAGAGTCGAAGTTTATTTAGATGGTGGAATACGAAAAGGAAGTGACGTGTTAAAAGCACTGGCACTGGGAGCGAAATGCGTCTTTATTGGAAGACCAGCTTTATGGGGTCTGGCTTACAAGGTGAGTAAGGAGCTTTGAGTTTGTCTCTTCTCATACTCTCCAACACTCTGCTGTTGTTATTTAAAACTCATGGAGACAGTTTTCACCGGTGAAGAATCTTACCCTTTTTTTTTTGGTTTTGCTGAATTTTAAGTGGAAATATCCCAAATTAAATCAAACCCAGACATTTCTGTGATTTAAAAATACCACTGAATTTTGCAATTTCAAGTATGATTTTGAAGCTGGTGACATTTTTTTGTGGGACCTGATGTCTTGGTGTTGCAGTTTGGTGCTAAAATACTGTAGGACTCAGGACCATGAGTGCTTTTGAAAATTGGAGGTGGGCTTATTTGCCACAAAGATGAGTCTGACAATATTATTTGCTGTCAGCTTACTTGGACACAATGTGTGGTTTTGATACAGCAGTTTCACAGCAGTGCTATGAATTCTTCAGAAATACATGTAGAACTCCATCCCACTGATGTCTGAAATATTTTGCACAAGACTGAGCACAACCGTGTCCTGTAGGGGCCTGAGCGTGCCACTACTATCTCCATTCCAGCTTTGCTGCTTCTTAACTACTAGCATATTTCTATGATCCAGATTTATGAATTAGGCCTCTGATGCAGAAGGTTAACATAATACAATTACAATGTAATTATACCAGTTGTTTGCTTTGCTAAATTTTTGCTTTTTAGCCTCTGGATTGGAGCTTTCAAGCTTTTCTCTAGCAGAAAAAATATTTATTTTTATGATCTAGAAACATTTCCTATCTTTTAAATGAAACCTCTGTCCAGTGGTGTGATTGCTGTGGATTCCAGTATCTAGGCTTTAAGCAAGAGATCACCTGAATCTTCTGAGAAACCTGGAAGAGTTGGCAGCACTGTTTCTGTTGCCAGTAAACAGAGAAGAAGGGTCTAACATGAAAAGAGTGTTGCTGTGAGTTGCCTGCATTTTTTCCACAATGCAAACAGCAAGAAGATGGGATTTTTTGAGTTCAACTGTGCTTTGGTATTATATTCCACAGAGTATTCCCAAAGATGTATCTCAGTGGCATTACCCTAGCATACACAAGGGAAAGGGCATGAATGCACCCAAATGCATTATTTATTGCAAGAAATAAACATAAATTTTAAGAGAAAAAAAGAAAAAATCCTCCAATATATTACAGTAAGATCCAAATCACATGTACATTTTATTGGATTTTTAGCTTCTTGGTGTCACTCGCTGGGAGGAAAACACAGTGTGCTATTTTTAAAGATTCAGTCTGCTATCTGAGTAAACTAAAGTTTTTAAAGCTGTACCATATATAAAACTCTCATTACTTCATAAAATATTGTCAGCATTGTAAGGCTTGACATTTTAAAACAAGCCCATTGGTGGAGGTTAACTGAAAGCTAAGGAAAAAAAAAGCTAGAAAATGTCAGAAGTGAAAAACAGCTTTGTTTTCTTTCCCTGTTCAGATGTATCACAAAGGGAAAAGCATCTAAATTAATCTATGATGAACCAAGCACATCCATCACATCATTTTAATCATTCATCTGTATGAGAGACTGGAGTTGGCACGGACTTAAGGGACTGTCCCAGCTCTCACAGTGTAAGCATCCTGCAGTGTTGCTCTGTGCCAGTGCTCCTTTAACCCTGACTGCTTGCTTTGTTGGAGCAGGGTGAAGAGGGTCTTCAAGACGTTTTGAGAATTTTGCAGGATGAGTTTCGTTTGTCGATGGCCTTAGCTGGTAAGCTTTTTGCAGTTTGGTTGTAATTGGTGATACAGAGGTTTCTGCATGCAAGCCATCTTAAATCAGAATCCATGTGAGCTGTGCTGGTTCTAGTTGCTATATTTAGGGTGATTCTTTGCTTCCTGTAGAAACCACTTGGCATTTCAGGTGCCATAGCAATGAAGCTTGCAAGGAGGAAGTCGGTTAAAGCAGCTTTCTCACCCAATTAAAGAGATGCAAAACTGCTAAGTGCAGCTTAGCAAAACTTGGAATTTATGTTCTGCTGGGAATTGCAGCGTATGTTTGTCAGTATTTAATGCAATGTTTACCAGGGTAAAATGCAAACATTTTTTTTGCTGCATGAAAAGTTTGGAAAAAATGGATGCAGAATTTTTCTTGGGGTATTAGAGAATACAGTCTCTTGGTGCAGGTTCAAATATCTGCATCCCATGTGCCTCCATGTCTCCTCCAAGCTTTTACTGTTCCTCATTCTGCATTGCTAACTCATGGTCCTACCTGTAGCTGCCATGTTTGACCCCCTCACTGAAGAGCAAATTTGCACAGCCCAGTGCAAACTCCAGTTTCACACATGAACAAGAACAACATGCAGATCCAGTGCAGAAATATTCAGACATCAGCAAAAGGGTTTTATCCCACTTCAAATCATGTTTTAAAGATTTTCGTGCTCCGGTGACCATGGACTCAAGTGGATAGCAACGCTGACTGCGTTGGGCATTTCTTAATAGGCTGTTTTTTTGGGTTGCTTTTTCAACTAGTAAAAATTCCTACAAGTGGGTTTTTTCAAGGAGGCTCTCACACTTTTCTACATGCAAAAGGGCATTGAACTTGGCAAGAGCAGCAGGTTGGGACCTTTTTGGCAGGGCTGTGAAATCCCACCTAGGTTTGACCAAATGAAACAGCAATGCAAATCTCCACCTCCGGTCATTTGACACACAACAAAGATACAATCCTGGTATCTTTTCTGTCTACCTTTCACTTCTGGCTGGATCAGATGGATTCCTTCTCACCTTGTTATAAGGATCCTTTTTTTTTTTCATGTTTCTAACTAACTCTTCTTGTGCGGGAAGCCCTGTGCCTAACCTCAAGGCTGAAGATGCCATTGAGGAGTAGGGCTCCTGCGAGTGAGCTGTTGAAGTACCAACCTATCCCCACATGACCCATACAAGACTAGACCGTGATTCAGAGAGGGGGCTTTCCAAGGTCCATCCACAGATCTTTCTCTCTCACCAACATGTTTAATTTCTCTATTTATTTCAGGCTGTGCCAGCGTCTCAGAGATTGGCCGACACCTAGTTCAGTTCTCAAAGCTGTGAACAGCCTCCTGCAATGCCCACTGAACAGAGGCTGCTCACACTGAGGTCCCAACCAGACTGAAGAGAGAAAAAGGAGGTGAAAACATTGAATGTGCAATAAATATCTGATAAGGCCTTCAGGAAACTTCTGAGGAGATTAGGAAAGGCTGTTCTCTCTGCTTTTATTGAGACCAATGAGTTCTTTAACATTTTGGGTAATTGTTACTTGCTTAAATAAATTTACTTTAAACTGGCTGTTCTATGGCATTACCTGTGTCGGGCCTTACTCCCAAGCTCTGTTACGCCGGGCAGCCAGACATGGAAAACTATGTTCCTTGCTTCTTCCACTTGGTTGTGGAAAGTCTGATTGCAACTCAAGCTGCACACCTTTCCTGCGCCGGGGCAGTAAGCATTGTGGCTGATACCTTCCATAGCTTGGGCTTTCCTGGGTGTATTCATAGCAGATACAGAAACAAGATGCATCAGCCAACAGGCACCCCAGCTACCCTTTGGAGGTGGGGGCAGTTCTTACCCACTGCTTCTAAATGCATAGCAATGAAATCATCAGTAATTAAAGCAACACCCTGTGCTCCCTGCTGAGAAAGCCTCTCCCTTCACTACATAGTTAGCTTGCATGGCAAACTCATCCGAGCAGCGGTCAGGACCTACGCTTTCCCAGAGCACAGCACAGGTCTGCGGCACCACGTAAATAACTCAGCCGGTGCCCCGGTCCCTGCCCACGATTGAGCGCGGCCAGCACAGGCTGACAGAGCGGGCAGGAGCTGCCGGCACCACCCACGCAGCGTGTGGCCTCGGCTCTCGGAAGACGGTGCAGAGGCAGTGGTGTGCCTGCTGCCAGCACAGAGTGGCGTAAACCCTTCCTCCCCAAGGTAACAGAAACCTGCGCTCATCCCTTCCCTGTCCAGGTTTCTTCCAGAGACATGGGTCTTGCCTCCCCATGAGGAAGCACACCCTTGCTGTGCCACCCACCTGCCATCACCTGGTGGTGATGGGTCCTTAATAACAACTGGGAGCTTTCTCTCCTTCCTTCCTTCCTTCCTTCCTTCCTTCCTTCCTTCCTTCCTTCCTTCCTTCCTTCCTTCCTTCCTTCCTTCCTTCCTTCCTTCCTTCCTTCCTTCCTTCCTTCCTTCCTTCCTTCCTTCCTTCCTTCCTTCCTTCCTTCCTTCCTTCCTTCTTCTTTCTTTTCTTCTAGTTCTCTTTCACCTGGATGATTCTTTTTCTGCAGCACTCCTTAGAGCACAATCTTCAGCTACACCACCTAGTCTTCCTCTTTCTTCCTCATTCCCCCATCTCTCCATCCCCCACCAGCCTGCCTTCCCCATTGTTTTTCTTCAGAAAAATTTCAGTCCTCATCTACGCTATTATTTCTGTATATCGCTGAGTAACATGAGTCTCCCAGTGTCGTGGACCTTTGGTGGGAATGCCAGAGCTGCTTTCTGGCTGACCAGAGAGGAGAACAAGGAAGCCTGCCGCTGCCCAGAGCCGAGGGAGCGACTGGGGAGCGGAGATGAGGCAGAGTGCGGGCAGCCAGGGCAGAAGCCTGTTGATGTTGTATTATTTGGACCTGGTGTTCCCTGGGGGTTGTTTGTGTCAACACGCTGCAGCATGAGTATTTACTCTGAACTCCTCCCTAGGAGGACTTTAACAATACTTGGTTTTTAATCTTTATACAATGCTGTCTAAGGAAAGGTGCAAAGAGAATGAATCTATTTAAAATGGCTAAAACCCCATGTGCGCATTTGGTCTTTGTTATAAACGTGATGTGTAAATCAGTGGGGAATTGGGCCGGTGTAAATGGAGATAAGCTGAATCTCCATAAAGAGTTTAGCTGATTTAACTACCCGGGCTTAATCAGGTCTGTTAAATGAGGCTAGGTAAACTAGGACTGTACATACATGAAAACTGCTACTGTATGTGCCTCATCTTTTAAAAATGCAACGTGATCTTCAAAATATCTGGTAAGACACCTGGCCTTGTTTTCTTATAAATAATTTTTGAGGCCAGACTCCCCAGTGCAGATGCTGCTTTTATGGCACTTTTTGGCAGCACAGAATGGCTGAGTGATGCTGGGCAGCAATGGGATGCCACATGTCTCTCTGTGCCAAAGAAGTTCCAACTTGCTGGGCACCTCCTCTGCTTAGTGCACCTCCCAGTCTTCCCATGCACACAAGGCTCCCTTTTCGAGCAGAAGGCAACCTCAGACGGTGGTCTCCTGCAAACTGCACTGCCCTGGGCACCAGGCATGAGCATCCCCAAGCGGGACCTCTCTCCGCTCCCCTTGGAGCTCTGGCACCATTCAGTAAAAGCATGAAGAATAAGGGGCCACAAGCAGGGAGGAGTGATGCTTTGTAGGCTAGTGATTGAGGTTGTCCTGTGTATGAGGAGGAAGGTGGGGTGCGAGGTCATTACTCCACCCAGTGATTACTTGGGGGAAAATGACACAGAGGTCACTGGTGCACGGGGCCGCACAGTGACCTAACCCTGGTTTGGAGTGCTGTGTGTCCAAGTTTCAACAAGAAGGTGCCAGCTCTCCTCACACAAAACTGCTTATGAGCTGTTTCTGTCAAGGCTGGCAGACAAGACGCGCTGCTTTTTCTGCAGAGGAGAAGGCACCTGTGTTCACCCAGCTCCTGCTGAGCACATTCCCCACTGGCTCCTGGTGTACAAAGGAAAGGGGGGGCAGCAGCAGCACCTCCTTTTGCACGTATCTTAGAAGAATGAAACGAGGCTTGTTACACCCTAAACTCACTAAAAGGGAGGCTTCCAGGTTATGCAAATGGCAGCAGCTGACGGGGCCTGCTGGCAGACCTGAGACATCTGGCTAACCTCTGGAGAGGGGCAGGATTCTAGCATGCTTCCTCTGGTACATCTCAGTGACCTCCCTCTGAGCATTTGGATTGTTTTTTAGATCTGTTTCTGGATGATCTAGAAGACCTAGACATGGGCATGTAAAGTGTGAGAGTGAGCAGGTGCCAGAATTTAGCTGCTGTCTGGATCTGATGCTGAAAATGGGAAAGTAGATGGTGAGAGGCTGGGACAATTGCATTTAAGCTCTGTTCCTATGAAAATGAGCTCCTCTGTCTCCCTGGTAGATGGCTATCAAGGCCTTTGTTCCTTATCCTACACTCCCATTCACTGAAAAGAAATCCCTTTTGTTTGGAGAAATCCAGGTACTGAAAAATCATCCGTTTCTCACCTGCATTTCACTTACTTAGATATCTTTCACCTGTGGCCAGACTCTGTCAATGCTCCACACATGACATGGCTGGTCTGCTCATGCCGCTTCTCACAGCAGTCTGTGCTCCTTGGAGCAGAGGTAGTGCTCAAGGCTGCTCTGCTGAGGCAGAAAAAACTTTCAGGCTCCAGAGTCTCAGCTTTCATTTAAAGCCAACAAAACAAGATACTGGAAAGCATGTCATTGTTACAATTGTGAAGGAGAAAAGTTATATCAAGAAATTCAGAGATGTCTGCTGGAGCTGAAACAATTGTGATGGAAACTGCATTGCTGAGCTGAGTTGTGGTGGCTTCATTTACACCATTGTTGAGTACCATGAGACTGAAATCTGTTTTGAGGGAAATGCACATCATGAAAATAAGCACAATGGTTTATTATCACCTTCTCTGTTTTCCCCATGGCACTGAAGTTGGGGGATGGAGGATAGGAGGGCAGGTGGAGCTGAAGGACATGTGAACCCCACTAAAGGTAGACAGACAACAAGCTGTTCTATAGGTTTGTTGTATAAGATAGCACAAACATCTTAAACCAGAATTGTTTGCAGAGGCCACTTATTTGCACCTCCTGTGATCTGGATGTCTGGTGGAGTACATCTGGAGTCAGATTTGAAGAGGCATGGAGCATCTACAAGTGAAATGAAGGTCAGTAGGAGTCCAGGACTGTAGGCATTTGGAATAGGCAGCCCCACAGAGATGAAATATCTTGTTCACCAGTCTCATCTCCATCCAGTCTCTTCCTATTGTCCCTTTACAGCCATACAATTTTTCTATCGTATTTTTCAAACTATGCAATAATATAGAATATCCTCCTAGTCCCTTCTCCCCTCTCAGATCAGCATGTATTCCAAAACTGAAGCAATACCTGTACCCTTGGATAGTTCTGCATGCCTCCGGGAGTAAGGGGAAGGGAATATTTTGCTGGTCAGGTTTGTGAGTGTCATACCAGAGGGATCAGTACCAAAAGGGAACCACTACAGAATCGGGCACGTGCATCCTGGGGGCAAACGATAAAGCTGCTCTTCAGTTGAGAGGGCCAACAATTGCCCATGGCAGAGTGGCACTTCTGGGGCAAAGAACGAGCTCGCAGCAGTGCAGAGCCCCTGCTTTGCAGCTGGCAGATGCCCTGGTGCCCATCTCCCTGGCATGCTCAGCAGGAGCCACGCTACCAAGAAGTGACCTTCTGCATCAGCCCTACTTTACATTGGCCTTGAGGAGGCAGAAGAGAGAAGCTAGCCCTGTTAGCTCACTGTGTTTAGACCTGAATTTCTCACAGAGATAACAGTGTCTGCAGTGATCTTCCAGAGGCCTTCACATGGAGGCCTTCCTCTCTGTTCCAGCAATAATAAACCTTGCTGGCAGACTGACAGCCCAGCAGATAAGACTGAGGAGTAACACCACATTGCCCATTTTGATGGGCTTCAAGGATGTACAAGAAGAGACTGAGACAACTGGGTGTGCTCAGTCCTGAGGAGGCTAAAGGTAGGAGGAGGAGGGATGACAACACTATCTTTTACCACTCGGAAGGAACAGAGAAGATTCAGCCCCACTTCTCAGATGTGTGCAGTAAAAAGGGTGAAAGGCAATGGACAAAAATTGCAATAAGGAAAATTACAGTTAGAAATTAGGGGGAAAAAAATTCACCCTGAGGGTGGTCAGATGCTGCAACAGAGGGTTTGCGAAGTCTCCATCCTTAGAGATGGAGACTGGGCAAGGTCCTGAGCAACCTCATCTAATCTGATGCTGCTGTGAGAAGGAGTTGGGTCAGA